GTGGAATAGGTGAGTAGTCTTGGAAGAAGACGAAGAAGGTGTATCATTGGTTCTTGCAATAGTGGAAAAATCTTCTTGGTAACAAGATGGACTGGACGTAGCCTTCAAATTGAAGGTGAACCTGTATACATCTTGGTGTGATCTTCTCTTCTCTTAACTTTTTACATTTTGCAATTATCTTCTACTTCTATTCAAATATTTTGTTCACTACTTCCACTCATAAATACTCTCTTTAACTTGCAAAGTTTTATAATAAAAGTAGAAAAATTCAGTTTAAGTCTCTACACCTAATTCACCCCCCTTCTTAGGTGGCCATATATCCTAACAATAAGAACTGCCCCTAGGGCATTGAGCGTATCAGAGGGAATACAAATTATTTAGTAGTCCTTTTGGCGCAAGGACGTCAAAGTTCAATGACATCCGTATAGCACTCAGGCATGCAAACTTTATTTTTTTAGGGACGAAAAGTCCCAATTCATTCATGAAAGGTGATGAAGAAACTTAATTTAGGTAATGCCTCCGTGTCCTAAAAGGTATACTCACAAGGTTTTTGGAACGTCTATGGTCATACCCTATGGCAAGGTATTAAGTCTTGATTAAAGTGGACAAAATAAAAGCTATAGACTTCTACAGGTCACGAGATTGCATCCAATCTTAAAAGAAAGGAATCCATATATCATGGACTAGTTACGAGAAGAGACTAGCTCCCCAAGCGGCTAACTCACAATAAATGGGAACAATCATGATGGTTCATCATGCTAATACCAGATATGACACGAGATCACTTACCGGCAAAGCAAATGTTCCTTCCATCTTAAACTTAATCTCTAATACCCGGGTATAGAGCATCGGTGGGTGCAAACTCGAGTGTATGTGTAAGTGTGTGGGGGAAACATATAAACTATAAAATAAATTCCAAATTAGCTATATCACAAAGCTTGGATAAGTATATACACATAATTAGGATAATTGAAATAAAAATGAATTCATGTATTATTTATTTATAAATCTTTTTTTATAAAAAAAATAAAGGTATTTAGATTCATGCAAATAGCAATATTGGGCCTGACTCTAAAAAATTCCCTAGTGGAGTCGCCAGCTGTCGCGCCCGGATTTTTGGTCACGCGACCTCTTTGGGAGTCGCCACCACGACTTTTGCGGTTAAAACGTGGAAAACTCAAATTGAGCCTGAATTGGATAAAATTGGTCTTTTAAACTAGAGTCGTGAGTTCGGGAGTTGATTACGAATTAGGGAAGGTATTAGCACCCGTTCGCCCGTAATTAAACGGTACCCTAACTAATTGCATGACTTAAATATACCATTAACTTATTAAAATTAAATTGATTAAAAAAATATTTATTTTTTTATTTTTGTGTCTGACAAGAGTTCATCTTGCTCCTACGAATCCCTAGGTGCAATAGGGAAATCAAGACTACGTAGTTCTTTTGAAAATTGTTTGTTAGTTTAATTAGAAGTTGAAAATTTGTTTGATTAAAAGTTATAGAGATTACTTTTGAAATTGATCGAAGTGGAACTAATAGACGAAGAGTCAACATTGATTGTCTACCTCTTTCCACCTCGATAGATAGTAGAAGCAGTGTAAGTGACCAAGACTGGTTCTCGGCTCGAAGCGGAGAGAAAGATGCAATACGAGTTGTAACCTCGCTATTGAATCCCCAAATAATAAAAACATTTTTGTAACTTAAATATTTTTAAAGAGATGAGTAATAAGTGAAAAGTCGACATGGTTCGTTAATTATTTTCTCACTTTGATAAATAGCAGAAGCAGTACAAGTGACTGCGACTAGTTCTCGGCTCGAAGTGAAAAGTAAAATATAACATGAGTCGTAACTTCACTATCATATTCTCATTCAAATATTTATTATTTTCCACTTGACCTTTAAGACATTTAAAATTATATTGAAAAACATTCCTTAATAATATCTCAAAAAATAATAATTGGGAATAGTTTGATGGGGCTCCACTTAAAGAGACTAGTAGCCCACAATCACGTAATGTTATATAAATTAGAAGAAAACAAATAAAACATAAAACTAATAAAGTAAAAATAAAAAATATAACAAAAGGCAATTAAAATGGGGGTTGCCGTGTTACCCCTCCAGCAAACCAAAAAGAAAAAGAAAAAAAAGGGCAAAAGGGATTTATAGAATCCCTAAAATACTTCAAGCAGCCGCAACCAAAGGGGGTGGTGGAGGTGTACTGGATTCTCTTCACCATGACTGAACATGTTCCTGCCATGCCGGCCATTGGCGCTGCGGCGGAGCCACGTATTGGCTGCTGAGACGCAGCACAGTGTTGGGTTGCCATGTTCTTTTCGGTGGCGAATCGTTGGTGATGCAAAGGGAAACCGACAGAAGGCGGGGACTTTGAGCAGAGCCGATTATCATCTTCTTTCCTCTGAGCACACAACCAGTCCGGTGGTTGATGAAGGTGAAGCACGGCTGGAAGTATGATGAGAACTAAGTTCTCTTCCTTTTTCTCGTTTATAAGAAAAGTTTGCATAGTGTAGTTGTAAAATAAGTTTGGGAAATAGAAGTTTGTGGATTAGATTTGCTTGCTGGATTTGTCATATGACTTTGAGAATTAGAGTAGAGTTTATGGATTCTTCTTGAAAGTTAAGAAAAGATAAGTTCAAATGAAGTAGATAAATATGGAATGCTAAGTTGTAATAGAAAGTTTGTCTCCCATAATACTCATAATGCTTTCTCTTGTCACTAAATTCCTTTAACAAATAATGTATATCTTCTTTTGATGAAAGGAACAAAACCCAAGTAAATATTCAATGTTGACTATGGACAAATGATGCTCCTGGTTGTGGAATTTTATAATTGTTGTTTTACCCGTGATCAATATAACATCTTAGTGAAATGATTGTTGTCTTTTATATGCAGGGAGTATAAATTGTAATGGGTTTAAAAGGATGGGATGAGGAAAGAGCACAGTCCTTGTTGTAGATAAATATTTATGTCACTGCTTAGACCAATCTGGTTCATGTAATTTACATTACTCAAAAGAAAATAGCATGAGTTATGATATAAGACACATGAATGGAATTATTTAACTATATGTATGCAAATTAAAAGAGTTATTAGTGACATAAGCAGCATATGATTCTCATGAATATGATATTATTTATTGGTGCCTTGCTTATTGTTGAACTTATTGTTCCTGCTATTTTAGTGTTTTGCCTCGTGCTCCTCGAATCTCCGTTTGTTAATGTTCATTTTGGGAAGCCTGTAACTCTCTCTCATTTTTTCATCTGTAGCCTCCCTTTTTATTATGCTTGGGACTCTCCTCCATATTAAGTGCATTTATTTAATGTTGATTTTTCGGAATCTTGTTTGATTGCCTTTATTATCTTGTTGTTGACTTGATTTTCTTTCCCATTCAGTGGATAAGTGCACTACTTATAGCAAGAGAGGGAAGGCACATGCACAATAATGAGGGGAACCTCCCATTAAAGTATTGGGTGGAGAGATGTTTTTTCCTTTCTTAAAAGCTGAATGTGGTCTCTTTCAAGGCCAAATGAAGCGTAGTTGTAGCATGTAGCAATTACTGCATTAATTTGTATTGACTTACATTACTGTAGTGTTATTACTGTCTTAACTTGTATTGATTTGCATTATTACAGTTTTGTTATTGTATTGGTTTAAATTATTGCATCATCAATTGATATCTTTAATTCTACCATATATCTTTAAATTGTTGATTTATTTCGTAAGGTATTTTGGGCCGGACAAAATTGGGTACTAACAAGGAGCTGGAGCGCTGGAGCGCTGGAGCGCTGGAGCGCTGGAGCGCTGGAGCGCTGGAGCGCTGGAGCGCTGGAGCGCTGGAGCGCTGGAGCGCTGGAGCACAAGCATGATGAGGAGCAAGAGCGCAGGAGGAGGATCAGAAGTAGGAGCAGAAGCGCAGGAGTGCAGGAGTAGGAGCAAGAGCGCATGAGCAGGAGCAAGAGCGCATGAGAACGAGCAGGAGCAGGAGCAGAACAAGAGTAGGAGCGGAAGCAGGAGCGTAGTAGCAGGAACACAAGAGAAGGAGCACAGGAGCGTAGGAGCAGGAGAAGGAGCACAAGAGCAGGAGTATGAGCGTAGGAGTAGGGGAAGGAGCAGGAGCGCAGGAGCAGGGGCAGGAATACAAGAGTAGGAGCAAGAGCAGGAGCACAAGAGCAGGAGCGTAGAAGCAGGAGTGCAGGAGCATGAGCAGGAGTAGGAGCGCAAGAGCAGGAGTGCAGGAACAGGAGCGCAGGAGTGCAAGAACAGGAGCGCAGGAGTGCAAGAACAGGAGCGCAGGAGCAGGAGCATGATTGCATGAGAAGGAGCAAGAGGAGGAGTAGGAGTGTAGGAGTAGAAGCAGGAGCACAGGAGCAGGAGCAGGAGCGCAGGAGAACAAGAGCCGGAGCACTAGCAGGAGCTAGAGCAAGAGCAGCAGCGCAGGAGCAGGAACACTGGAGTAGGAGCGTTGAAGTAGGATGAGGAGCGCAGGATCAGGAGTAGGAGTGCAGGAGCATAGGAGCGTAGGAGGAGCGGTGAAGGATCAGGAGCGCAGGAGGACGAGCAGGATCGCAGGAGTAAGAGCAGAAGCTGGAGCAGTAGCAGGAGCGTATGAGCAGGAGGAGGATCGCAAGAACATGAGCAGGAGCGCAGGAGCAAGAGTAGGAGTAGGAGCGCAGGAGCAGGAGAGCAGGAGCAAGAGAGCAGGAGCAGGAGTAGGAGCGCATGAGCAGGAGGGCAGGAGCAGGAGTAGGAGCGCATGAGCAAGAGGGCATGAGTAGGATAAAGAGCGGATAAATATTTATGTCATTGCTCAGACCAATCTGGTTCATGTAATTTACATCACTCAAATGAAAATAGCATGAGTTATGATGTAAGAAACGTGAATGGAATTATTTAACTATATGTATGCAAATTACAAGAGTTATTAGTGACATAAGCAACATGTGATTATCATGAATATGATATTATTTACTAACATGGTGTCTTGCTTATTGTTGAACTTGTTGTTCCTGCTATTTTAGTGGTTTGCTTCGTGCTCCCCGAATCTCCATTTGTTAATGTTCTTTTTGGGAAGCCTGTAACTCTCTCTCTTTTTTATTAGTAGCCTACCTTTTTATAATTCTTGGGACTCTCCTACATATTTGTAATTCTTTTTAATTGCAAATCATAATTTAATGCCCCTTTATGCTTTGATTTCCTTCCAGTTTTTAGTCTAATTGCCTTATTGAGATCATCCCTTTATGTTATGCTAATTACTGCCTATTAATGCTGATTATTACCTTAATTCTGCTCACTGTTGCTGCTTAATTATTCTGAATCTACCATGATCCTTAATCTGCATATCCTTAGTGTCATCTTTCAGAATTATGTTGATTGGTGATTGTTGATTTACTACATTAAGTGCATTTATTTAATGCTGATTTTTTGGAATTCTGTTTGATTGCCTTTATTATCTTGTTGTTGATTTGATTTTCTTTCCCTTTCAGTGGCTAAATGCTCTACTTATAGCAAGAGAGGGAAGGCACATGCACAATAATGAGAGGATCCTCCCATTAAAGTATTGGTTGGAGAGATGTTTTTTCCTTTCTTAAAAGCTGAATGAGGTCTCTTTCAAAGCCAAATGAAGCATAGTTGCAGCATGTAGCAATTACTACATTGATTTGTATTGATTTACATTACTGCAGTGTTATTACTGCCTTAACTTGTATTGATTTTCATTATTACAGTTTTGTTATTGTATTGGTTTAAATTATTGCATCATCAATTGATATCTTTAATTCTAGCATATATCAAAATTTGTAACAAAACCAATTCTTTATTGTTTTTTATATATTTGGGAAGGTATTTTGGGTCGGACAAAATTGGGTACTCATAGCTGCCCCTCTTTACTCGTTGATTATCTGATAGCACACAAACCAAGGTTTGGGTGTTGTCGCGAAAAACTACTATTATTGAAATGAGTGCTAATTTTGACGAGGCGCAAAAAACATTTCTATTTATGAAGTGTGGATGAGGTACAATGATAGCAACCTCCTTGTGGGGGGTTGGTATTTTTGTAAGATTGTTTTGTTTGAAGTTTGGCTTATGATTTCAAGAAGTCTTTTTGTTGGTTGTTTTGGTTGTTTTATGTGAGCTTGGTAAGCTTTCGGCTTTTGGTAGGCTAAGGTTGTGTATGGGTGTTTTCTTGGCCGAGAGGGGTTGAGTGTTTAGGCTAGGATGTGGGTTTGGTGTTTGGGCGAGAGTGTGAAGTTTTTAGGCTTTGTTGTATCGGTTAGGAATAGGGTTGTGTTTAGGCCATGGTTTTATATTTGGCTCGGTGGGAATGTGTATGGGGTGTTTAGGCCGAGGTTTGGTGGTTGTGTGAGGTTGTGTTGGATAAAAGAAGATGAAAAAGTTGGAAGATGGATGGCGCCACAAACAAGGTGTTGTTTCATAAGCCTAAAGGAAGTTCGCCACAAACAAGGATGTTTGATAAGAACAATACTCTTGGTTCAACCAAGAAACTTAGGAGATAATTCTCACTAATATGTTTTTGCATAAAATTCAAGCTACTTCATTTCATGAGTATGATTCTTACATATAGCATGTGGGCTGGCCGTGAGGCTCCCCTTTGAATTTTGAATTTGAAAGCTACATTATTACATTGAATACATTCTTCAAACATGGTTCTAGGCTTAAGGAAACTTTAAAACCTATCTTGAATGTGCATATTAGAACATGCCGAATGTATTTGGACATTGGCTTTTGCATTGCCAAGTCACACGGCTTTGCCTTAGTTGATTTATTCGGCCATAGGATTTGGCTTTAAGCCTAGCCAAACTTAAGGGCCTTGTCTCTTGCTTCTTCATTTAGGCCGAGGATATATTCTAGTTTTTCCATTGAATTCCCATTCAAATTTGAATGTTTAAACATGTGCTCATTTCCCTGGATGTTGCTGGCCGTGTTTAAACTTGTGCCTTCAATGCCATAAAGTCGTGGCTGATTTGGTGGTTAGCTTTATTTTTTGAATTTGGCCATGTGGGAAATCGGCTTGGTCATTAATGTAGTTAATTCAAAAATCCATAATGAAGGCATGAGCTAAAAGAAAGGTAGGCACCATTAAGATTGGATCTTTGGCTGGTCTTGTGGCTTGGGCGGAAAATAAGGCTCCTTGGCTGAGTCAGCAAGGCGTGTTGGCCTTCACATGTGTTGCGCCTATAAGAGCATCTTGGCAAGTCAGAGGCGGAAGACCCGGCGCCTGGTCCAGTCAGTTTTCTTAGTCAGACTTGGCCGTGGCTTCCAACTTGGTGCGGAAAATGTGGCGCCTAGGCCAGGTCAGCTCCACGTTTAGATTCCTGCGTGGCTTGGGCTTGGACAAGGTTGGCCATGCTACTCTTACACAAAAAGACATAGTTAATATATGAAAATAATTTAAGACAACATACTAAAAATAAAAGCTTGTGGTTTAAAACCACTTATTTAAATGAAGACAACAAACAAGCTCTTAGTCATCCCTTGCTTGGCCGTGGCCTTCAAGGGAAGTGTCCTCTAATGTGAGGCACATTATGGGCCTTGTGGTGTCACTTGGCCCAGTTGATGCTTGAATGTTCAATATTAGTTGGTCAGGGGTGCCTTGGGCTTTCTCGGCCCTGGCCCGAGTTATGGCTCCCCCTAGGCCCATTAGGTCATCCAGGTTGATGGGCCTTGGTGGGTTGCTATCATCCTCTCCTTCTTGCACTGAATTCAACCTCGAATCAAGGTCTTCATTACCTGTTTCAAAAAGATAAAGATCACAACATTAAAACTAGCACTAACATTGCCATTATCACTCGGGATATCAATTTTATAAGCATTATTATTGATTCTTTCAAGGACCTTGAAAGGTCCGTCCCCTCTGGGTTGAAGCTTAGACTTCCTTTGGGAGGGGAACTTCTCTTTCCACATATGAACCCAGACTAGGTCTCCAGGTTCAAAGATAACCTCTTTTCTACCCTTATTGGCTTGCCTAGCATATCCCTCATTCTTTTTTTCAATTTTGGCCTTTATCTCTTCATGAAGCCGTTTTACATACTCGGCTTTGGCCTTACTATCTTTATGCTTAAAGGTTTTAGAATCAACTAGAGGTAGTAAATCCAGCGGGGTCAAAGGGTTGAACCCATAAACTACCTCAAAAGGTGAGCATCCCATGGTACTATGTATTGTCCTATTATAAGCATATTCCACATGGGGTAGGCTTTCTTCTCAAGCCTTGAGGTTTTTCTTTAAAACTTCCGTTAGGAGTGTGGACAGTACTCGGTTCACGACCTCTGTTTGGCCATCTTTTTGGGGATGGCATGTTGTGGAGAATAGGAGTTTAGTTCCTATTTTACCCCATAGGGTTCTCCAGAAGTGACTAAGGAACTTAGTGTCCCTATCACTTACAATGCTCCTTGGTAGGCCATGGAGCCTCACAATCTCTTTGAAAAATGATCAGCCTCGTGGCAAGCATCATCAACCTTCTTACAAGGTATAAAGTGGGCCATCTTGGAAAAACGGTCCACTACGACAAAGATGGAATCCTTGCCGTTTCGAGTCCTGGGTAAAGCCACTATAAAATCCATGGATATGTCTAACCATGGTGATTCAAGCACTGGCAAGGGCGTATAAAGCCCATGTGGCATCCCTTTGGACTTGGCCTTCTTGCAGATCAGACACTGCTCACAGTGCTTTCGCACATTCTTTTTCATCTTAGGCCAGTAAAAATGCTCCTTGAGCATGTCAAGGGTTTTAGGGATCCCGATGTGTCCCATTAACCCTCCCTCATGAGATTCCTTAACAAGCAAATCTCGGATAGAACTCTTAGGAACACACAAGAGGTTTTCCTTGAAAAGGAACCCTTCGTGCCTATAGTAACCATTAACAGCAATACTCACGCATTTATTATATAAATCAGAAAAATCAGAATCATGCAAGTAAAGCTCTTTCAGAAATTCGAGACCGTACAGTTTAGTCTTGAGGGTGGAGAGCAGAATACGCCTCCTCGATAGAGCATCTGCCACCGTATTGGCTTTTCCCTTCTTATGCTTTAAAACATAAGGGAATTGCTCTAGAAATTCAACCAATTTGGCATGGCGGTTGTTAAGCTTGCCTTTCCCTTTCAAATACTTTAGTGACTCGTGGTCACTATGTATTACAAATTCCTTGGACAAGAGGAAGTGTTGCCAAGTCTGTAATACCCTTACCAAGGCATACAGTTCTTTATCATAGGTAGAGTAATTTAAGGCCGAGCCTCCAAGCTTTTCACTGAAATAAGCAATCATATGTCCTTCTTGCAACAAAACAGCTCCAATACCTAAGTTAGAAGCATCACATTCTATCTCAAAAGATTTAGCAAAGTTAGGTAAAGATAGAACAGGGGTGTTAGTCAAACGCTCCTTAAGCCTCTGAAAGGCTTCCTCTTGTTTTTCTCCCCATTTAAAGCCGACATTTTTTTACAACCTCGTTGAGAGGTGCGGCTATAGTACTGAAGTCCTTAACGAACCTCCTATAGAAGCTTACCAAGCCATGAAAGCTTCTCACATCAGTTACAGTCATGGGGGTTGGCCAATCCTGGATGGCCTTGAACTTTCTTGGTCCACATGGACCCCTTTGCATTTATCAAAAAACCCAAAAAGATCACATGATCCACATAAAAAGAACATTTCTCAAGATTAGCATAGAGCTTTTCAGCTCTTAGCACGAGCAAAACACTTTTGAGGTGTTCATGATGCTCGTTTTCTGTTTTACTGTAAATTAAGATGCCGTCAAAGTAGACGACCACAAATTGCCCCAAAAAATCTTTGAGCACATGGTTCATTAACCTAATAAATGTGCTCAGGGCATTAGTCAGCCCGAAGGGCATAACAAGCCACTCATAAAGACCCGACTTTGTCTTAAAAGCGGTCTTCCATTCATCCCCCTCCCTTATTCTTATCTGGTAATACCCACTTTTTAAATCAATTTTACTAAAGATGCATGCACCATATAAGTCATCTAATAAATCATCAAGTCTGGGGATAGGATGGCGATACTTTACAGCGATGTTATTGATGGCCCGACAGTTTGTGCACATCCTCCAACTTCCATTCTTTTTAGGTACCAATATCACTGGCACAACACATGGGCTCATGCTTTGTTGGACCCAGCCCTTTTCCATTAGATCATCGATCTGCTTTTGTATTTCCTGTGTATCATGGGGGTTGCTCCTATAGGCAGGCCTATTTGGCAAAGAAGCCCCCGGAATGAGATCAATATGATGCTCAATTCCCGTCAAAGGTGGTAAGCCACGTGGGACTTCCTTGGGGAACACATCTTCGAACTCTTGCAGAAACCCTTTAACAAAGGGTGGTAATTCATCAAGCACATAAATAGAGGTTAGAGTAACATCATGACAGTATAATAAATATAAGGGCTGCTTTGAGATTAAAGCACCCTTAACTTCGCCTCGAGAGGCCATCAAACTGTTTTTCTTTTCTTTTTTTTTCTACTTTTTTTTGTGGATCATTCTTTTTTTCTTGATTGATTTTCTCTTTTAACTTTTTTTGGTCCTCACTCACTTGTTTTGGAGACAAGGGTGAGAGTACAATTTTTTTATCATGAAATACAAAAGCGTACTTGTTGGAAAACCCATCATGGATGGCTTTCCTATCGTACTGCCATGGCCTGCCTAATAGCATGTGGCTGGCCTGCATGGTGACTACGTCAAACAATACAATGTCCTCATACTTCCCAATAGAAAATGGGATCT